AGGGACGCATGCACCCAGGCCCAGAGTTCAAGCCCCAAGACTGACAAAAAAAAAAATTGTGGTCACTGTAATAATAATAATACAATCTATCTAAGGTCATAAAGTTGCTGCCCCATTTTGTAGATGAAGAAATAGAATCACACAGTGGTGAAGTCACTAACTCAGAGCTGAGATTAAAAAAAAACAACTCACAGTGACCATAGGGTCTGTGTCCCTTTCATCCAGTTTTGCTATATTATTACTTTTGTACTGAACACAATGGAGTACATTTTAAAACTAGTTATAGACTTCAAATTATGTGTGTCTTTTCTTAGCAGGCCTTTCCCTGTACTCAGTCACTGGCTCTCTCCAGAGCTGTCAGAGTACTTGAAAATAGATTTATTTCTTCAAATGAATTTTCATATGTATCTATATTGAAGGACAAAAATAAATATGAAAGAGTATTAAAATTACATAAGAACAATGATAAGAAAAGGTTACTCCTTTTAATATCTTTAAGATGAGACTCCTTGTAATATCTTTAAGTGCCTACCTTGCTGGAAGATGAGAAGGAAAAGATGTGCAAGGTTAATGAACACTGGACATTGTAGTCCTTCATACTCTGTTCTCTCCTCAATGGATAACAAAAGTCAATTAAAAGGTAAATCAGATTATATTATTTCCTATTCTTCCTCTGCTTAAAAATCCTACAATCAAAGTCGTCTCATCATGACCCTACAAATTCTAGCTTCAGCTTACCACTTCACTCATCTTTTATATATTTTTATTGTAAGAATACTCTACAGAGGGGTTATAGTTACATGAGTAAGGTAATGATTACATTTCCTATTGAGCATTGTTACCCTCCTCCTTCGTTTTCCTCCTACCATCCCTTCCTTCCCCACTTCCTCAACTCCTCCCTCCCCGCTCCTCCCCCAAAGGACATAGCTAGCAAGATCAATAGAAAGCCCATGGATTGGGAGAAAATCTTCATTAGCCATACAACGGATAAGGATCTCATATCTAAAATATACTTAGAACTCAAAAAATTAAATCCCCCAACAACAAATCCTCAAAGAAGCAACTGCCTGATAAATAAGTGGGCTAAAGACTTAAAGAAAAACTTCTCTGAAGAGGAAAAAAGAATGGCCAATACACACATGAAGAAATGCTCAACCTCCCTAGCCATAAAAGAAATGCAAATCAAAACAACACTGAGATTCTACCTGACCTCAGTAGATTGGCTATAATCAAGAAATTGGTGCTGGGAAGGTGTCTCAGTGGTAGAGTACTTGCCTTGCAAGCATGAGGCCCTTAGTTCGATTCCTCAGCACCACATAAGCAGAAAAAGCCAAAGTGGGGCTGAGGCTCAAGTGGTAGAGTGCTAGTCTACAGCTGAAGAGCTGAGGGGCAGTACCCAGGCCCAGAGTTCAGGCCTCACGACTGACTAAAAAAAAAAGAAAAGAAATATAATAACAACAGATGTTGGAGGGGATGTGACCAAAAGGGAACCCTACTGCATTGTTGGTGGGAGTGTAAACTTGTCAACCACTTTGGAAAGCAGTATGGAGGTTCCTCAAAAGACTCTACATAGAGCTCCCCTATGACCCAGCAATCCCACTTTTGGGCATTTACCCAAACAATCACAAACAAGGCTATACTAAAGCTACCAACACAGCTATTTTTATCACAGCACTATTTATCATAGCTAAGATACAGAACCAACCCAGATGGCCCTCAGTAGATGAATGGATCAAGAAAATATGGTATATGTAATGGAATTCTATGCCTCCATCAGAAAGAATGACAATGCTCCATTTGTTAGGAAATGGAAAGACTTGAAAAAAATTATATTAAGTGAAGTAAGCCAGGCCCAAAGAAATATAGGTCCCATGGTTTCCTTATTTGCAATAATTAGTATATGTCTAGGACAAAGCAGAAGAGGTCTAAAGCTATGTACATATGACTATATAAGATAATGCTAAGCGAAATGAACCCCAAGATAGGGACACAAGTGGTTTTATCTTTCTTGCTGTTGTTCCTAATGTATTTATAATGTACCATGTGATTTTTTTTGTTTCTTTTATATGTTCTTCCCCCATAGTCTAAGCCTGTTTTCACTGTATCTGATTCCGGTGTTCTGCATCTTTTATATACATTTTTCTGATTTGGGGAGGGGAAAGGAATAACAGAATGCTGAAATAAGGATACAGGATGACCCATTGTAACAATGAGATATACAAGACACTATGTTGAAAACAAACTTCACTCATTTTTAAATACCATCCCCCTGGATTTACTTTGCTGAAGCCATACCTGACCACTTTGCATTCCTTCAATACACTAAGCTCATTTGGGCTTTTGGATTTTTGTTGGAACTATTCTTCTGCCCAGAAGGCTCAGAGACCACATCTGCCATGGTTACCTCCTTTTCATTCAAACCTCAGCTCAAATATGTCCTCTAACTCTCCTTGATCATTTTATGTAAAGAAACTCTTTTTCTAGCCTAGTTTCTCATATCCCACTCCCTATTTTATATACCTTAATAGAGCTTACCATGATTTAAGGTTAAAATGTTTATCTACTGACATTTATTACCACTCTCCCAAATAAAATTTAAAAAACCTTTGAAGCAGAAACCTTAATAATCATTTTCACTAATCTGTTATGTCTAGATAAGTGCCAAGGACAAAGCAAACCAAAGTAAAGTTTTATTGAATAAATAAAAGGCATTGAAGAAAATCAGGCACTGGTAGTTCACACCTATAATCCTAGCCACATCTGAGGCTGAGATCTGAGGATCACAGTTTGAAGCCAGCCTGGGCAGGAAAGTCCGTGAGACTGTTATTGCTAATAAACTACCAAAAAGACAGAAAGTAGAGCTGTGGCTCAAGCTGTACAGCTCTTGCCTTGAGCAAAAGAAGCTCAAGAACAGAGCCCAGGTCCTGAGTTCAAGACACACACACACACACACACACACACACACACACACACACACACACACACACACACACACACACACACACACACACACACACACACACACACACACACACACACACACAGCACTGAAGAATAATGGAAGCAAACTACTACAGCGGCCATGTAAACATTTTTATGACATTTTCTTTAAGGAAATGGATTTCAGTCATTTAGGAATCATAAAATACATTTTTAATTTTAAATTCTTAGGTCTTTGGCAATCTTTAATAAGTAATAAAACCATTTGAGATGTTACACATACTCTAAACACTGTAAAATGTAATTTTAATAGTTCATATCATTATCAACTATACTCCTTCTTAAGGTTTTACTACATCACTATTATGATACTAAGCACATTCTTGTCTTTGTTATTAAATGGATTTTCCTTTTAATTTTTTTATTTTTTATTCCAGTCCTGGGGATTGAACTCAGGTCCTAGATGCTTCCCCTACACTTCTGTGCTCAAAACTAACGCTTTACTATTTGAGCCACATCTCCACTTGCAGCTTTTTGGTGGTTAACTGGAGAAAAAAAAGTCTCGTGGACTTTTCTTCCTGGGCTAGTTTCAAACTACAACACTCAGATCTCAGCCTTCTAAGTAGTTAGATTGTATATTTAAGTGTTTAAATTGCAACAGGTAAATTGGCAAACAGGTAAATTGAAACCTCAGGCAATCTAGCTCACTTCTACATGAAAACTGAACTTTTCTTGCAACTATTTCTAATGCATATGATAAAATAAGATACATAACATGACATTAGACTTTGTGTTTTGTGTATTGTATTTTTAGTAATAAATAATTTTAATTGCAAAATAGGAGGATAGCCAAGCAATGAAATTTATTTACACACAAATTATACAAAACGTGTTATATTGTTAAGATCTTATAAGGAAAGCAGTATTTTAGCCTATTATGTTAATAGGTTGTTTCACTGAATTTTACCTAATAACCAGAGTCAATACTCTACTTCAATACAATAAACAGCAACAAGAGGCAACATGTTTGGTGGAACTACAGAATAAAGAAATACTATTATTTTAATAAAAACTATCAAAAGTTAATCCTTCATTCTAATTAGAAAAAGTGTAAAAATCCCATTTCCCTCTTCCTTTTCTTTTGAATTGTCTTAAAAATGTCAATGTTAAACCTCCCTATTTTCTAACTAACTATCAGGAACATAGCAAACATCAATATACCCTTAATTTCATATTATCATGCACTCATAAACATCAATACAAGTCAAATAACCTCCACCAATCATATACTGCATGAAAATGCCACAATAGAACTGCTATATGTAAGTGTATAAAGTATCTTTCAAAAAGATATACTAATAATGTTAGAATCTAATGACATTGTTAGAATCTAATGAAATTGTTAAAATCTAATGAAATAATCCAGGCTTAAATATTTTCATATGCAAGTATTCTTCATTTATAACTAAAAATTTCTTTCCTGAAATGTTTAAAGACACAGTTCATTTAATTAATACCTGATCTGAATGAGCCATATAAAACGTGGAAAGGATATTCAGAGTCAGTACAAAATACTATTTATGATTTATAGTAAATTCCCTAGAAGTTACAATTGGGACCTATGGAGAGGAAAATATCTAAGTCAACTTTTAAAAATAGAGATTAAATGTATAAATCATTTCAAACAAAAATATAATGGATATACCTTTGCTTAATGACCAAGCTCTGAAGTCCTAAAATTATAAAATCTCCATCTGTTAATCTGACATGAACAAGCTGATGAATGAAATCATGACAACAGTGTATCCTGGCAAAACTAGAAAATTCCTGAAAACCTAGAAAAATATGTCTACAACAGATGGGTCAAGTAGAAAATAAATACATCAATCTGTGGAAATAAATGCTGTTATAATTCTCTCAATTAAAATTAGTAGGAGCTCTGCTTTCCAAGAGTCTGTGATATTAGGAAGGCCAAAGAGAAAACATCTAGTGAAGTATATAACATCTAAAATGACCTAAATGTCTCCTGTTAAATATACTAAATTCAGGTAAAGTCTTACCAGTTAACTTCTTCATAGGTTGGAGCCGAACACTGATAGACTGATGTGTGAGTAAGGGGGAGGATGGAAGAGAGCGAGACATGCCCTCCATAATCCGAATGTGCTGCATACCTTCACTCACTGGAAGTGGTGGAACAGCATAGTCTGGCTCAAAAGCACAATCGCTTTCTGTGGAGATGCCACCTGTGGACAGAAAAGAATGGTACAGAAAAAAAAGGTTGGTAAGAAAGAATATCTCCTTTACTAAAATATGCCTGTAAGGATGACTCTCATATATATATATATATATATACACACACACACATATATATATACACATATATATATATGTGTGTGTGTACACACACACACACACACACACACACACACACACACACACACACTGATTTCCACTGCAAAAAAAACCCAAATCAGACATTTTCAACAAATATATTCATTTGTAAACTTACTGGGTACTCAATTCTTGGTACTGCTAATGGTAATCAGATATGAGTAAAAAACAGGGTTCCTCCTTGTAAGAGCAGGCTATCTCATGAGAAATACAGTAATACAGGAAAATAGGAAATAATTATAGAACAACACAGTAAGTTAAAATTAGATTATTTTAATGTTTCCTGACAGAATACTTGTTTAATATTGTGCTACTGCTAGTAGGATCAATGCAATTCTATTTCTTTTGTCTCCTCCCTCAAAAAATTACATAAAAAGTGAGTAACACTGACATTATATGATGCTCTTTGAATCTGCTCATACGCATGTGTATATGTGCATGTATGTGGGAGACAAGAGAGTAAGCATGTGTGTGTGTGTGTGTGTGTGTGTGTGTGTGTGTGTGTGTGTGTGTATGCGTATGTGTGTACTAGGGCTTGAACTCTTAGCCTTGAACTCTTTCCCTGTCTTTCTTCTCTCAACAACAGCTTTTTGTTGGTTAATTGGAGATAATGATCTTTCAGATTATCTGTCTCAGCTAGCTTCAAACCTTAACCCTCAGAATTCAGCCTCCTAAGTGGCTATATATAGGTGTGAGCTACTGATATGCAGCTTTTAGTAATGTAGCATGTTTTTGAAAGAGTAAATTGTAAGTTGTTGGCTTCCATTCTTAGTAATGGCAGATTATGTACTTCAGACCAACTTTTCCCTAAGAAAAACTAGAACTGCCTATATCCTTTAAAATCTTTCTAAGGTAGTAGAAAATTAACAGTGCAACCAAGAATAACAAATAAAAGACCTAAGTCTGGCATTTGGGGTGACTTTTTATTTAGTGGCACTGTAGGGTTAACAAGCTATCAACAGTTTACAGAACTGCAAGAACAAAGTGTTAGTCTAGCTACTCAGAAGGCTGAGATATAAGGATCACAGTTCAAAGCCAGCCTGGGCAGGAAAGCCTGTGAGACTCTTATCCCCAATTAATTCACAAAAAAAGCCAGAAGTGGCAGAGAGCTAGCCTTGAGCACTAAAGCTCAGGGACAGTGCCCAGATCCTGAGTTCAAGCCCCAGGACCATTTCTCTCTCTCTTACCCTCTCTCTCTTTCTCTCTCTTTTTCAATCTCTCTCTCTATTCCCTCTTTCTCTCTCTCTTTCTCCCCTCTTTCTCTCTCAATATCTCTCTCTCTCTCTCTCTCTCTCTCTCTCTCTCTCACACACACACACACACACACACACACACACACACACACACTTAGTCTAGAACTCACCAAGGTATGAAGGGAAGAAACTGGCAGGACTCCAATACTTTTACTGAAAGTCCAAAGAAGTAACTCTGAACTAAACCAAGACTGGTCCTTACAAGTAGTAAAGCTTAGCTCAAATAGCTTAGCTCCCACAAAATTTAATCAAGAAAGTACTGCTAAGACCACCCATAACAAACATAAATCTTCTTAGAGAAATATAGCATCATCATAGATCTCAAACTATTTAAAGAATTTATCATACATAACAAACTCTCTTTAACAATAGCATAGATAATTTGAACAAGTGAATCAGAAAAGATGTATAAACCAGAAATAGTCTGATAAAAAATACAACAATGCATAAAACAAAGTGAAAAAAACTTTAAATGTCTGCTGGGAAAAATGAAGAATTCATTCTTTATTCTTGGATTTTAGGAACTTCATCTGAATATCTCTTAAATTTTTACTTTTCTGGGCCCTTTGGTTACTGTATTGACCAATTTTCTTCCAACCACTTATGTTTTTTCTCTCTCTCTCCTTTCCTTCCTCCTCCCTTCCCTCTGCCTCTCTCTCCTTTCCTCTCTAGAACTCTGATCAGAAAGATATTATTTCTCTAAGACCTATTTTTCAACTGTTTCTCTCAATATGGATTCAGAGTTATTAGGCTTACATGAATAGACTTCAGACAATTTCATACAGAATTCTAGTTCTTTGTAGATTATTTAAGAAGCATACTATTAGTATAATTGCCTAACTGAGGGATCCTTTAAAGTAATGTATCTGAAAATATATTTGGTTTAGTGAAGTACCATTTTTCATTTGAAATGTCCCACAGTTAAAAATTAGCAGGTAATTTTAGAACACAGTAATACTCCTTAAGGAATCATACAGCAATTAGTCCAGTTTGGCTGTCCTAGTTCACTTTTTTGCTTAGAAACATTTTCTTCCATCTTCTCTGTCCTACAAATCATGTCTGAACTCATTGATGCTACAGAGAAAAATGTATCTTCAAGTAAAGAAATGATAAGTATCCACAGAATATGATTATACACTAGTTAATAGCTTCTCTTAGAAACTAGTATACTGTTATAGAATGTAGTAGTCTCTTAGAAACTACCAGCCTCACAACTTCAGTAGATTATAACAAGTTTACTTCAAGTACGTAAGTCTGAAAATTGTGGATGGGCTCAAGACGCTACTGACTAGATTTTTGGTCAGATTCAGAATGATACCAATGTATGTTTAACATTGGGCCCAGCTACAGAAAGGACAAAGTAAGTATATGGAACATGCTCTTCTCTAGTGGATCAAAGGAGCATAGAAGGCTCAAGTCAAATCAGAGTGATCTATGTAATACCTCTACTCACTTACATTCCACTGGCACAAGGAAGCCATACAGGCAGCCAAGAATGACATTGATGGGGCAGGGATTATTGATTGGCCCACACTAGTATAAGTTACTACAATACTGCATGGCAAAAGGAATGGATATGTAATTATACAACATAAAGAAACTGAAAAATTGTGAATTCAGTTTACCAAATATGTAAGGTAACATTCATTAGTATTCTGTATTATTCTATGCGTACATTTTTTTGGTTGTTGTTGTTGTTGGTCTTGGGGTCTGAACTCTGGGCCTGGGCACTGTCTCTCAGTTCTTCAGCTCAAGGCTAGCGCTCTACCACTTGAGCCACAGAGCCACTTTCAGCTTTTTCTGCTTATGTGGTGCTGAGGAATTGAACCCAGGGCCTCATGCATGGAAGGCAAGCATCCTACAACTGAGCCACCTTCCTAGCCCCATCAATCCTTACTTTCTAGTGCTCAACTTCTTGCCAATTTTTTGCATGAACGAAACTAAATACTGAGATAAATTAAAATACTGCTAACTTGACAGAAAAAAAATCCACATATTGGCCACTTGAATTAGATATTTAAAAGTTGAGTCAAGACCACCTAGAGTTAACATTTTAAAATGTTAGGAGTAATAGCTATTCAATTAAAACTTCAGCCATCACTAAGAAAAGTCTTACACTTAAAATGTATGATTATTAGATATTAAAATTTAAGCTAAATCAAACACTGGTAGCTCATGCTTGTAACCCTAGGTAACTCAGGAGGCTGAGACTTAGAGTGTAGCAGTTTGAAGCCAGCCTGGGCAGAAAAGTCTGAGACTCCATCTCCAACTAACAAGCAAAAAACCTAGTTGAAAGCATGGTTCAAGTGATAGAGTACTAGCCATAAGCAAGTAAAGCTCAAGTCAGGCCCTTAAATTTAATCTTCAGTTCTGGCAAAAATAAAATAAAATTCAAGTTAGTAAGGAAAATTTTTAATCAAATGCAATGTCTATTCTAGAGAATTACTTCCTAAATTTTTAAATAACCACAAGTAAAACTTAAAAAACATAAAACAAGCCGGGCACCAGTGGCTCACACCTGTAATCCTAGCTACTCAGGAGGCTGAGAGGAGAGGATTGTGGTTCGAAGCCAGCCTGAGCAGGAAAATCCATGAGACTCTTATCTCCAATAAAACACTAGAAAACCAGAAATGATGCTGTAGTAGTTCAAGTGGTAGAGCTCTCTTCTTGAGCTGAAAAGCTGAGGCCCAGAGTTCAAGCCCCATGACCAAATTGAAAAAAAAAAGGAAAATAAAAAACCTCCAGTATGATATATTCATGGATGATTTGTGAATTTTTCAGCTTAAAACTAATACATCAATAAAAGTTTCTTTATAAAAGAACCTGAGAACTAATATATATAACAAAGGGCAGGGGCTGGGAAGGTGGCTCAGTGGTAGAGCGCTTGCCTTGCATGCATGAGTCCCTGGGTTTGATTCCTTAGCACCACATAAGAAAAAAGAAAAAAGCCAGAAGTGGCGCTGTGGCTCAAGTGGTAGAGCGCTAGCCTTGAGCTGAAGAGCTGAGGGACAGCGCCCAGGCCCAGAGTTCAGGTCCCATGACCGGACCCAAAAAACAACAACAACAACAACAAAGGGCATTTAAAGATTTTAGAGAAATAAAGAGGTATACAACTTATTCAAAATGTTCTTTTAAATTAGAGTTTATCTTACCCTTTGACTGTAACTTTCTCCTAAGCCCATAAATGTGGCAGAAAGAATCATAGAATGACAATAGTACAGAATCACATAGTCATTGAATATTATTGCCAATGTGAAAAATTTAAGGTTATCTGCTCCCCCCCAAAATCCAATCATAAAGAATAACTCAGTCAATTTCACAGGTTACAAAGGTAGCAAGCAAGAATCCAGTGTCTCTCTATATATCAGCAATGGACACTTGAAAAAGAAAAAAAAATTAAGCCAGCATTATTAAAATAGTACCACTGAAAATACAAGGGGGCTAGAGGCATGTTTCAAGTGGTAGAACACCTGTCTAGTAAGCATTAGGCCCTAATCAAATCCCAGTACTGAAAAAAAAAAGAGTAAGTAAAGTATTTTGTCAGGCTCCAGTGGCTCATGCATATAAGCTTAGCTACTCTGAAGGCTAAGACTGGGAGT